GTGTTTCTTGGTCAGTTCTCTACTCAGTCATTTAAATACCTCTAAGAACAGTAACTGCTCCCCGCTTCCACCATCCCTGCCATCCCTACCCTGTGGGATTGATTGGCTTATTGTGAAATACAACAATTACCAAATCTTCTTCATGGGCCCACCTCTTATTCTTGCTGCTGATGGTGACAGATAAAGGTGAACTTTTCAGAAGAGATCCCCTTTTGTTGTCTTTTCTCTTTTCAATTTACTGTAAGACTTGTCTATTATAAAATCTTGTTCATTTTATTTTTTATTCCTTTAGGAGCATAGTGAGAAGAAGCAGCGGGTCAGGTTCCAGCTTGAGATTTCTAGCAATCCTGAGGAACAGCGCAGCAGCATATTACATTTGCAGGAGGCTGTGCGGCAGCATGTGGCCCAGATACGGCAGCTGGAAAAGCAGATGTATTCTATCATGAAGGTAGTCACCTGGGCAGGCTGAGAACAGGGACATCTCCTAGGTTGAGGGAAATCTCTCAGTTTCTCCTGTTCTGGCTCCCTAGTCTTTGCAGGATGACAGCAAGAATGAGAACCTTCTTGACCTGAACCAAAAGCTTCAGTTGCAGCTAAATCAGGAGAAGGCCAATCTAACGCTGGAAAGTGAAGAGCTTAATATCCTCATCAGGTGAAACAGCATTCTTTTTCTGCCCTTTTTCAGTTCCCCAGATGGAGTCAACTTCTCTGCCCACATTCTGATAGTTATTAGGCCTAGTGCATGATCAAAGGCTGATGTAGTAGATTCAGGCTCCTCTTCCTGAATGAGCCTTACTGAACATAGCCAAGAAGTTGAGAACAAGAGAGCCTTTCCTTTGGATCATCAATAGAATACACCTCCTGGGAAAGGAGAAAAATGGGTAGTTGGGAAAGATCACTTTTGTTGTCTTAATACTGTATAGCTGAACTGAAAATAAAATAACAAGTTGATGAGTAAGGAATACAATTGTAGGTTTAATCCTAGGGGTCATTAGTTTAAAGAAATTAGTTTAAAGAAATTATTAAGAAGCTTTAGTACTGAAAGATGGGATTTGTAATCCCATAGCAGGGTGTGAGAAGCAATGAATCCAGTGAAAAAACTTTAGAGAATGGCTGTTCCAGAATAGGTCCATCTCTGGGTTTATCTCTTGCATCATTCTAGAGCATTTCACTCCACCCCTGGACCAAATGCTGTTACCCCTATTGGCTCTGACCTTTCTGTCCATTTATAGGTGTTTTAAGGATTTCCAATTGCAGCAAGCCAACAAGATGGAGCTGCGAAAGCAGCAGGAAGATGTGAGTGTGGTCCGTCGCACTGAGTTCTACTTTGCTCAGGCACGATGGCGTCTAACAGAGGAAGATGGACAGCTAGGAATCGCTGAACTGGAGCTGCAGCGGTTCCTCTATAGCAAGGTATTAGATATACAGTCACACAAAGGCAGCTGTATTGAGAGGCACTGACCTGTCTTGTGAGTGTAACTCATGAAAAGAAACAAAATGGAGCTAGTTATTATTTAACTATTGATGATAATATTAAAGTTTATTAATGATACATGAGCAGCATCCCCCTTAGATACATGTTTGTAATATTAAGTACTGCAGATATAGATGAAGGTGATCAAATGCTTTCCTCAATGAATAATCTTATCCCTAGAAATGTGGCCCTGCTTGGAATAGAAACTTAATTATACAAGACTGGCATTAAACTCTCCTGCAATTATCATGGAATGAAGGAGAGGACATTGTTCATTCCTTCTCATTCCCCCTGCCCCCTTCCAGAGTGTTTGGTAATAAATGAGACAATTTTTGAATGTCATAGCAACTGGGAAGTACTCCTGGCATTTAGTGCCCTGACTAGTAGCACTCATGACAAATACAGGATTAGACGGTACATTGACTATATGAGATGAAAGAGATATCAAAGTTTGGGGTTAGGCATATAGAGAACGTGAAAACAAATAGGATATATAGCTATTCTCTAGCAAGTGCCTGAGAAAGGCTTATAATGGATTGGGGGTTGGCGGGGTGGGGGCAATCTGTCTTTATAGGTGAATAAGTCTGATGACACAGCAGAACATCTTCTGGAGTTGGGCTGGTTCACTATGAACAACCTCCTTCCCAATGCTGTCTATAAGGCAAGTCTTATTTCCCCATTCCTAGCCCATTCACATACTTTCTAGTACAGGCCATTTGTGATGGTCCTTCCATATAAACCCACGATGGGAAATAGTGTGGTGATCTGAGATGGTGAAAGCTTGCCTGTCTAGCAAGACCAATGCTTCTCCTCTTGTCTGTAGAGCATTTTGGGGTTGATTTATCACTCTATCCTACAGGTAGTCCTACGGCCCCAGAGCTCCTGCCAGTCTGGGCGACAGCTAGCCCTTCGTCTCTTCAGCAAAGTCCGGCCCCCCGTTGGGGGTATCTCTGTTAAGGAGCACTTTGAGGTTAGTACACAGTCCTTTGGGGATCCAGGAACAAAGGGCAGTCAGAGCTATCTGTGTGCTGTGTTATGCTGTTAGGGGTAGGTAAACTCAGGGATGATGTCTGAACTTAATTGCTTCTTCAGCCTTTTTCCTCTTTAGGTAAATGTGGTGCCTCTCACCATCCAGCTGACACACCAGTTCTTCCATAGAATAATGGGCTTTTTCTTTCCTGGCCGAAGTGTGGAAGATGATGAGGTTGGTGATGAGGAAGATAAGTCCAAACTGGTGACTACTGGTGAGAACTTTTATTGTGGAGCTCCAGAAGACTGGGGTAGCATAGCAGCCTCAGAGACAGCTGAAGCTTCAGAAAGAGGACAACAGCTGGTGTGCTTGCTTTTTCACAGGAATACCAGTGGTGAAGCCTCGACAGCTGATTGCAACAGATGATGCAGCAGCACTAGCCCCTGGGAAGGGTGTGGCACAGGGCTTGAATCGGAGTTCTGGGGTCAGAAGGTCATTTCGCAAAGCCCCTGAGGTACTGGACGTGCCCTTGATGATAAAAAAATGAAAGAGTCCTAGGATACTCTGTTAGACCAGGCTGGGGATTCCTTCTGTTGCCTTTGAGTCTACTCCAGACATGAAAGAAGATGGAGATGTTTGGGGTCCTAAGTTTCAGGGGCTCATACTCCTTTCCTGCCTTTCCTAGCACCCTGTGGATGATATTGACAAGATGAAAGAGCGAGCTGCGATGAACAACTCCTTTATCTACATAAAGATTCCACAGGTTCCACTGTGTGTCAGCTACAAGGTCTGTTCCTCCCTAGCACTTTCTAGAACAGGGTGGAAAGGGAATCACATAAAATCATCATAGATTAAAGATAGGGAGATAGCCCAGCTTGTGAAGTTGACCCATGGGGTGATAAGTTTTCTCTGCTTCCATTATCAGACTGAGGTAAGTGGAAATCTGTATTTGTAGGTTGCCACTACAGGAAGGTACTAGACTTGGACTCAAGTACTGGCTTGAACTAAAAATGGCAGCTGACATATTTCTTTCCTTTCTTCGTTCTCTTCCCTACCCATCCTTCTCTCGCAGGGTGAGAAGAACAGTGTGGATTGGGGTGACCTTAACCTGGTGCTGCCCTGTCTGGAGTACCACAACAACACCTGGACATGGCTAGACTTTGCCATGGCTGTCAAGAGGGACAGCCGGAAAGCCCTGGTTGCCCAGGTATCCCAGCAGAGTTCATGGCTGTTTGGTTAGCAGGGTCTGGCAAACATATCCTCTGCTCAGGAGCATTTCACTGTGGGACGTATTAACAAGCAGTCTTGGGATGGGACGAGTGAATAAAGTGAGCAACTTTTATCTCTGCTCTCTCTATGACTTCACTCAGGTTAAACTGAGTGATTACTATTTTGTAAAAGTTAACTACTGTAGATTTTTAGGAAACTGAGGTCTGACACAACTTCAGGTTTAGAATGGATTCTAGTTAGACTGTAAGCTTCTTGAAAGCAGAGATCATTTTAAGATTTGAATTGCTCCATTGTGCCTTAGTGTAAATTTAATAAATTGTTGAATTGGTTCACTGTGATTTATTCTGCCTGCTCCACTAATATTTACCTTCCCTTTTACTCCTTTAACCTGTTAGGTAATCAAAGAGAAGCTAAGGCTGAAGCCTGCAACAGGGTCAGAGGTCCGGGGAAAGCTAGAAACTAAATCTGACCTCAACATGCAACAGCAAGAAGAGGAGAAAGCCCGGCTCCTCATCGGTTTAAGTGCGGGAAACAAGAACCCTGGCAAGAAGTCCATTTTTGGCAGGCGCAAATGATCCAGCAATCCAAGAGTGGCTGCTGTACAGGATCTGACTCTGGCTCAGGCCCCAGAGACTTGTGGGGTGGGAGGCATTTCCCTTTATCCATCAGGATTTTTTGGGGTTAGGATCCCACAGGGTACTGCAGAGAGAGGCACTGCTTTTTAGCAGGTGGCCTGTTCTCTGCAGAGAGTGGTGGATAGTAGTGCTGAGTTCTACCTCACACTGATCAGCAGGCCCAGGGCCAGAGAGACATCAAGAGAGCAAGACCCAGGGAATGGCCCCAGGAGGATCTGGTTCCCCTGGGGTCAGCTGGAAGAGTGAGGGACAGTTCTGATCAAGTGTGATAAATTTTTATAAATAGACATATATAAATACATATATATTTCTCTAAGTGTAGATGCTTTTTCCCCTGTGCCAGAAAGTTGGGGGCAGAGGGCTAACCTGTCCCTCATTCCACTGCCTTGTATGAAAGAGGTATTAGTGTTGGGGGGGAATGAGCCCCTCCCACAATGTGTGCCAAGCTCACTTGGGGAGATGGCAATGGGGACCAGGGCGGGCCATGGGTCCCCCTGGGATATGCCCTGGAGAATGGTAAGAAAATGATTTAAAGAGAAAAAATATATTTTAAATTTGATGCTGTTTTTTTTTAATTGTGTTGAGTGCATGGGTTCATCTTGTCTATATCCTTCCCTCCCAATCAACCTAAGATTCATACTCTAGCTGCCACTCTAAAGAGGGTAGCCTCTTCACTCTTGCCTAAAACTGTATCACAGATATTTCCCAGCTCTGGTGTGACACTAGCCCTATGCTGATAGGTCTCTCTGTACATTTTAGTTCTGGCTGTAAACCTGTTCTGACCAGGGGTAATAGGATTTGGGGATAAGGGTGAGGTTTGACTGCATCACTTGCATTTCTAGACATGAACAGCAAGAGGCAGGGTTCATGTGTAATACAACATCAGGGGGAGGAATTGCTTATGTAACTGGGACAGCAGATTTAGCGAAAAGAGAGAAGAGGCAGAGGCTGAGAATGGGAACAGTGAGCTGTCGGCAGGGACAACACGCCCGGGCGGCTGCTCTTCATGAGGTAGGCTGTGGGGCTCTGGCAGCCTGTCTAGGGGAGGTGAAGAAGACCTGGGCTTGAGGCCTGAGAAATGACTGGTGAGGAGCATGTTAGCGATGCCCACTGTGGGGGTGGGAAGGCTGTACTGTGAAAGTATCCCAGCCCCACACTGGGAGGTACAGGTTGGACCTTGGATGCCTCATGGAGCAAATGTCCAAATATTGCCTTCTAGAGGATTTGAATCACGTTCAGGAAATCTAGACCTTGGCCCAAAGCAAGAATAATGGTGGCAATTTTGCCTGGTCTCAAAAATGTATTTCTAGGGTTGCTATTAGAGGGAGTGCCTGCTGAACCTGTAATGCCTCAGGCGCAGGTTTAGAGTGGCCTCCCTTCGTTCTCAGCAGGGTGGCAACATCCAGGGCCCCTGGGTCCGAGGCTGGAAGAGCCTCTGGTCAGGTGTGGGGACCACCAGGTCAGGCCTGGAAGAACTGTGGGGACTATTGGGGCATCAGTGCCAGCACCAGAAGCCCCTGGAGCCAGCCCCACCGCTAATAGAGAAGCCTCTGTCTGAGTGGCCAGTGCCTCAGATCATCAACCTCTTTCTGCCGGAGTTTCCCATTAGGCCCATTAGGGGGCATCGGCAGCTGAAGGTAGGTCAATGGAATCACTGGAAGACATCTTTGTTTTGGGGAGAAATCTAGAAATGACCAGAGTCTCAACTGTTCTATTCTCCATTTTTCTGTACAGATTTTAGGCCTTGTGGCTAAAGGCTCCTTTGGAACTGTCTTCAAGGTGTTAGACTGTGACCGGAAAGCAATATGTGCAGTGAAGGTAGGGACCTAGGTACTCTTCCACATTATTCTCTAGTCCCTGCCTCCAGTTTTGATTCTGGAAAGGTTGGGAGGAATAAACAATTCAGTAGCATTATTCTCTTCTGGGAGCTATCATTCCTGTCCTGTTACAGGTGGTGCCTAAGGTCAAGGTCCTCCAGAGGGACATCCTGAAGCAATGCAAAGAGGAGGTTAGCATCCAGGTATGCACAAAGCCCTGGAAAGGATCCTAGGAAGAACTATAAACTAAAGGTGGAGAAACTAGCCCTGGCTGGCATAGCTCAGTGGATTGAGTGCGGGCTGCAAACCAAAGGTGGAGAAACTAAACTACAGTTGTCCTGCTTTTCCTGGTTCTGCCTATCCCTCTGATCCAACCAAAGTAGATCCTGGGAAAAGTAGCTACCAGCAGGGTTAGTCTAGGTTCTTTTTTTTGTTTGTTGTTGGGAACTTGTTCCAACTCATGCTGTTCCAATTTATGCTGGCTTTTTATGAGGCCAGCATAATCTTGACACCAAAGCCCAGTATGGACATTATCAGAGAAGAAAAACTGTAAACCAGTTTCACTCATGAAAGTAGATACAAAAATCATAAACAAAATATTAGACTGTGTGCAACAATATATAAATATGGAAATACATCACAACCAAGTTGTATTTATTCTAGGAATATACCATATTTTTGGACCATAAGATGCACCTAGGTTTTAGAGGAGGAAAATAATGGGAAAATTTTTGAAGCAAAAAATGTGGTAAAATATTTAATAACATAAATAACATAATATTTCACACCAATGTAAATGTAAACAGAACTCAACAGCAGTATTAACAATCACTATTCCTCCCAAATTGGGGGGGGGGTGCATCTTATAGTCCGAAAAATACAGTAAGATTGGGTTAACACTTTTATAAATCAATGTAGAAACTTCTACTTTCAATCAAGATGGAGTAGAGGGACTGGATTTACCCTCACCCATGAAACAACCACAAACAAAAAAGGAGACTATGTAAGAGAATGTGAACAAAGGAACCCACAGGCACTTCACAAAAGAATATACTTAAATGACCTGTATATACATACACATATATACACATATAAACACATGAAAAGATGCTCAACATCCTTAGTTACCAGGGAACTGCAAGTTCAAACCAGAATTAAATAGCCCTACATTCCTACTAGAATGACTAAAATAAAGGAAAGGGGAGGAGAGAAAAGAATTAAGTAATATTTTTATAATACATAGAAAAAATCAGGATTTCCATCAAGGTCATTAACTATAATTCTTGATTTTTATTGGAATAACCAGTGTTTTCTTGTTTTGCTCATCTAAATTTTTAAATTTATTTTTTTAAAAATACATATAGCTCCTGTAATAAAAATTAGGGTTTCAAATGTTAGAATGCACATGCAAACATAAAATTAATCTGTTAACACATACAGAATTGGAAAGATCAAATCATTCAGTACTGAGCCATTAGTATGTAAGTGTTTAAAAACAAAATATCTGGCACTGTGGTCTGGTGATAAAATACACAAATAAGTCTATTAGACAAAAACAGCGAAGTGAACTTTAAAAAGCATGATGTTTATGATGAGTTTCAAGCACTAACTGCAAAAACATCTCAAACCTCAACTGTTAGGTGACAGTTTAGCAACCAGAGATGGCACTTAATGCAAGCAAGTGGTTTGAGTGAACATACATTCAGCATTTACTACGAAAGGGAAGGATTCCCCCCATGACAGAGGCATTGATACACTACCCTCTGTACCTGGCACAGCCTGGAGGAGCTCAGAGCCACCTTCTCTGTCATGTTGCTGCTATCATGGGTTTCTGAGAGACACCCCACAAGACTGCTCCCTTCAGAGGGTCTAGTCCTTTCAGAAGAAGCATTAGTTGTGTTGTCGCTGAGATTTGCTGACACGGAGTTACCTTTATTCACAACTTCTGTTGGTTCTACAGTAAAATGCACCTCCTCAGTAATGTACAGTAAAACATCTTCCTCCCTTCCCCCCATCTATCCCCTCCTCCCCCTCTTGCTTCTCATGCTGGGGTGGGGGGAACTAGTGGCAGTGGCTTCCTCCAGCTATTGCTGCCCACCCCCAACCACAAGCTCAGCCCTGTCTTGGGCACCCCTCAGCCTGGGCAACGGCCCACCTGCCCCAGCTGCTGCTGCAGTGCCAGGGAAATCTCTTCAGCATGTCCCAGTGTGTTCTTAGTATTATGCTGGTTCCCAGATTACCAGGCAGACAGCCCCAATTTAGTTCATTTAACCTGAGAGGTGGGGCAGCAGCTCCATTTCTGCACAAGTAGATATATTCTGACTTCTTGGCTGCCTTGATCCTCAGTGACCCTGTTCTTCCCTAATTTCCTGTTTTCTTTGTCCCTAGCGACAGATCAACCATCCTTTTGTACATGGTTTGGGGGACAGCTGGCAGGGAAAACGGCACCTCTTCATTAGTGAGTGACTGGTCTCTCCTCAGTCCCTGCATCCTTCTATCATATTCCTCACCTGAGATTATCCATCCCTTTGGCTTGTTCTGCCTTTGCTTTATTTCCTCACAGCATTTCTATCTCCCAAAGGGAGAGGGAACAAATAGCATATGGCATCAATTTGGGCAGGAGGTCTACAATGCCTTGAGCCCAGGCACAGTAGGCCCCAAATTTGCCCAGACTTCTGGTGCTTTGCAGTGTGCAGCTACTGTAGCACAGATCTGTACTCCCTGTGGTCCGCTGTTGGCTGCTTTGCTGAGGCTTCCATCCGCCTCTTTGCTGCTGAGCTGGTCCTGGTGCTGTGTAAGTGAAACAGGAGTGGTAATGGAAATGAGGGAAGAGTTAATGGCGGGGGGACAGAAAGAAGAAAATTGGTATTAACTATGGAGGTCAAAGAACAGGGATAGGGATGGCGTGGGACTACCAGGGTGGCTGGAAAGGACAGGAGAGCTGCAGCACACCCCATGCACTTGCTGTCATCCACAGGCTATCTCCATGACTTGGGCATCATCCATCGAGATGTGAAGGTAGAGTTAAGTGTTTTTTTTCTTTGTCTGAGGAGGGGCCTTAGTAAGAAGTTCCACACATCCAAGAAATCATGGGATAGCTGAAAACAGCTGACCCATGGGGCCCTCATGGGCAAGGACCTTCCAAGTATAGAACTGAATGTTGAGTAGGGCATCTTCAGCTGTGGGGTATACAGGAAGAGGATGAATAATAACTTCTCACCTGTGATTTTTCAGATGGAGAATATCCTTCTGGATAAACGAGGTAAGTCCTTTTCTTTTCCTAGCCCCAGAATGAGAGGTATTTCATTTGGGAATAAGTCATGGCTGATGAGGGATGGAACAGAGTGGTGCTATTGCATTATCTTTTATAGGTCATCTGAAACTGACAGACTTTGGTCTGTCCCGCCACCTGCCCCAGGGAGCTCGAGCCTATACTGTCTGTGGCACTCTTCAATACATGGGTAAGAAAAAAGCTAAAGCCGGTGGGCAAGCGTTGGGCAGGAGGATAGCCAACCAATGTCAATGACAAGTATCTTTCAAATTTGTAGCCCCAGAGGTCCTGAGTGGAGGGCCTTACAACCATGCTGCTGATTGGTGGTCCCTGGGTGTCTTGCTTTTCTCTCTGGCAACTGGAAAGGTGAGAGAATGAATGATAGTAGTGCTGGGCAGAGAAGAGAAAAGTTTTTGCCCTGTGATGGGAAGACCTTAGGGAACCTTGCCTTTTTCCTGCTAAGAAGTGATACCCCCCACACCTCTTAACTCAGTTTCCAGTGGCTGCAGAGAGAGATCACGTGGCCATGTTGGCAAATGTGACCCACCATGGCTCTGAGATGCCAGCTTCTCTTAACCAGGGACTTTCACTTCTGCTCCATGAGGTAAGGGTGAGCACCGCTTTCCTTCTTGACTACCAAACAAACCATTCTCTCCTTTCCCTGTCATTGAAGTGGTATTTCCCCATTCCACTGATGAATTATTTGTGGGGCAGGGCTCCAACTTGATCAAGTACTATGTTATTACTTGTCCACTAACCAGCATTTCAAATTTCATTCCTGAGTTCCTGGTCCTCCAATTATCTGCCCCATCCATAACAGGTCACTTCTGAGTGGGCCAGTGATACTTTCTTACCATTACAGCTCCTTTATTCCTGCCTTTGCCCCCACATTAGCCTGTTTCCCTCTTTTAGAAATCCTTTCCTCTCTAGGGTTCTTTTTCCTGCCCTCCAGGCTCCATGAACTTGTTTTTCCTTTTCCAGTGCCCCTGTTAACAGTCCCTTTCCTATCCCAGTCCCTTATCCTTGTTGCTTTATTTCCCTTCAGCTCTTATGCCAGAATCCCCTCCAGCGTCTACGGCATTTGCATCACTTCCAGGTCCACCCTTTTTTTCGGGGTGTGGTCTTTGACCCAGAGCTCTTACAGAAGCAGCCAGTGAACTTTGTCATGGAGACCCAAGCTACCCAGCGTAGTCCATCAGAGTCCATGCTGTTCAAGGACTTTGACTATAACCTGGAATCCTACCTGGTCCACTCCAGCCCTGCTTGAGGCCCTCTACTATAGATTGAGGGGCCCATTTGGGAACCTGAGGATCACCTCCACTACCAACTCAGTATGACCACCTTGATGATCCAGTTTGGTTTTACTTTGTAATCTCTTATCATTGTGTTCTTCTTCTAGGCATTGTACCAGAGTTTAATTCTTGGGCATTCTGCTGCTGGCAGCCATAACCGGCCCTAGTCCTTCCCCCATCATACAACCCATCTCTCAATTCATTATCTCAGATCAGCGTGTCAACCTCTTTCTGTTTCATTTCTCCAGTGCTCAAGCCCTGAAGCTTTTAGCCAGAGGCTTATTTCACTTTCCCACTTTTTTTCTGCATCATTTTTCCTTTCTTGAGCAATAATAACACTTCATGGGTTCCCAAGGTACTATTTATATGTTTAACAGGTTCTTCAGAAGCAGTGTGAATATTTCTCAGAGGTCTCAAAAGCTGGCATTTCAACCCCAATATGTATCTAAATCATATGATTCTGGGGGCACAAAACCAGTCTGTAATGAGTTTAATTTTAAATAATTTGAAAAATGAATCATAGTAACCTAATGTGACAAAGAAAATAAATAGGGAGTGAAACATGGGTGTGTTAAATGTCATTAAAGGTAACTGGAATAGCTATCCATATTTTTTCCAAAACAAAACCACTTTGAAAGACATAAGGACTCTTTTTTAAAATTTTTTATTTATTGATCTGAGATAGGGAGAGAGAAACATCAGTTCATTGTTCCACTTATTTATGTATTCATTGGCCAACTCTTGCACGTATCCTGACTGGGGATCAAACCTGCAACCCTGGTGTATCAGGATGATGCTCCAACCAACTGAGCTACCTGTCCAGGGGTGACATAAGGATTCTTAAACTGATCATTGCTCTAGACATCCCAGGATTCAGTTTCTAATGGGCAAACCAAGGGATTAAGAGGCATGACATCAACCTTAACATTTAAGTACTTTTTCCTTTAGTAAAGAAAATCATCTGGACCTTAAATTTGTTATACATTTCTGGCCTTTTGACTTCTTTTCATTTTTATTTAACTTCTCAAAAGCTTCATTTTTAATATTCTTCAGTCGTATCTGATTTCTTTTTTCAGACCAAAGGGAGTCTGTAAAATATTCTGTGTACTTCTATTAATTCTGTCCCTGGATTAAGCCAGATTTTCCCCGTACATAGCTAGCATTTTATTTGCCTCTATAGAATTGCTTTTTCTGGATTGTACTTTGGCAATCTGTATCAAATCCCTATGAAACTTAATTGCTGTCGATACTGTAAAGGGTATTTATGATTACAATTCATAATGTTCTTTTTAAAGATGCATAGGAGAAATTTTCTCTGAACCAAGTTGCGCTTTCCCTGAATTGCTGTTTGGCTTTACCTTAAAGACACTGAATATTCAACTGACTATATTTTTCTTTTCATATTGATGCTAGACTACTTAGAGCCAAATTGTGGCCCACCTCCAGCAAGGGTTTAAGGACTTCATGTTGTATATTTTGTATGCTAGCTACTGTTATTAGGGAGACCTGAGTTAGGGGGCTCCCCCTCATTGGTTCTTGTCTCACTCTTGAGAGATGAATTTAGTCAAGAGACAGCAAGTATAGTGGAAATGAGATAGTAAGTTTATTTATGAAATACGCTTGAGTGTGAAGGTACAAGCAGGCACCTGGCTAGACTGTGTGCACTGACTATTGGGATTTTAGGGGTTTTATGCTTGTAGCCAGTTTCTGATTTCCCCGTCCTCCTCCCTTCTCCAGACCTTGGTATTAACATACAGTTTCAAAGGCTTCCTTTCCCAGATAGTGGAAATGATACACACAAGGCTCCCTCCTCCTGCGCTTATCATAGTCTTTCTTTTGATTTTCGGAACACCTGGCAATCTTATCTGACTAGGCTCAGGACTGCTGAATTAATGGGTGAGACAGTCTCCCTTCCCCTCCCTGCCTTGGTTTGCTATCTACCCTGCCTAACAGCTACGTTCTTCCTTCGTTTCCTTTATTTTCTACACTTATTTTCCTAATTCTCATTTTTCTGTTTTATCTTACTATATTATCTGCATCTTTGCAAGCCTTCTGGGAATGAGGCTGGGATATAAATAAATAAAAGGAGTCCTGGCTGGTATGGCTCAGTGAATTGAGTCCCGGCCTGCAAACCAAAAGGATGCTGCTTCAATTTCTAGTCAGGGCACATGCCTGGGTTGCTGGCCAGGTCCCCAGTTGGGGATGTGTAAGAAGCAATGGATTGATGTTTCTCTATATTTCTTTCCCTCTCTTCCTTTCCTTCCCCTCTGTCAAAAAAGTAAATAAATAAAATCTTTGAAAAAAAATAAAAGAATGTATCCGTAATCTTTTTTATTATCTCATTTGTTTCTCTTTAGACACTTTTTTAAAGCTGTTTTAAATTTACCTTGTAGTGGCCAGAACTGCACATTAGATAAAAACCGTGAATACTAGAAATAGGAATTAATGGTTTCTAAAATAGTAGTTAAAGAGTATTAGATTGAAATTTAGGAGATCTGGTGCCTGGATTCATCATCAACTATCTCAGTGCCTTTACACAAGTCATTTTAACCTCTCTGGGTCTTAGTTTCCTATGTATAAAATGAGGGGTTTGTAGCCACTGGTTCTCAATCGTGAGGGATGGGTTTCAGATTTCTGTAACGCTTTTTCAAAGGGCAGATGCAGATGGTTTAATGATTCTATGTGTCTGACTCAGTGTTAATGTTTAGGTCACCTAACATTATATTAGCTTCTCTGGTCACAGCAGCATATTGAGTTAAGGTCTTTAGGACATGGTTAACTTAGCATGTCACTAGGGTCCCTTTCCTAGGTCATATTAGATTGCTTAGAGACCATGATCATGTTTAAGTGTAGTTTGAATAATCTCTTACCAAATGAGGATATTGTTCACATACTCTATTCAATCAGTGGTACACTACAACAGTGATTTTTCAGGGCTGAATGGAGGGGGAAACAGAAAATCAAAGTTTCAGACAGTATAATTTGAAAAAAGCACTGTCCCCCACCCCCTAGTTTTGATATGTTCATCCTTGGAAGGCACCCTTTACTCATTCAGAATCACTGACCTATAAATATAATACTTTTTATTTATATATATTAAGTTCACTTAAAATTTTTTTAATATACAACCTGAAATGATCTTTTAAGTTTAAACCTATGCTTTAATTTGTCATTACCTAGAAGAAATCAGATACACCTGTAAATATGGATATTTTACCTTTACTCCCTCTGTCTTTTTTAAGAATTTAAGATTAGGCCCTGACCAATGTGACTCAGTTGGTTGGATGTTGTCTGGCAAAGTAAGGTTGCTGGTTTGATTCTGTCAGGGCATATGCCTGAGTTGTAGGTCCGGTCCCCAGTCAGCACATGTATGAGAGCCAATCTTGTTTTTCACATCAATGTTTATCTCCCTCTTTCTCCCTCCATTCCCCACTCTCTAAAATATAAAAAATAAATAAATAAAAAGAATTTACAATTAGTCTCAAGACCAATTCTTACATACTTCTTCTAGAACAGTGTCTTCGTAGTTCTACTCATTGTCTCTCACCTCTAACCTAAATTACTTTAAAATATATTGATTTGTTCATTTGTTTACTTGTTCACTGATTTTTTTTAAAAAACTGGTAATCTCTATTCCTTAGTTACTTTTTTTTTTTAAGATTTTATTTATTTTCCCTGGCTGGCGTAGCTCAGTGGATTGAGTGCAGGCTGCCAACCAAAGCATCGCAGGTTTGATTCCCAGTCAGGGCACATGCCTGGGTTGCAGGCCACGGCCCCCAGCAACCGTACATTGATGTCTCTCTCTCTCTCTCTCTCTCTCTCTCCTTCCCTTCCCTCTCTAAAAATAAATAAATAAAATCTAAAAAAAAAGATTTTATTTATTTTTAAAAAGAGGGGAAGGGATGGAGAAAGAAAGGAGAAACATCAATGTGTGGTTGCCTCTCACACATTCCCAACTGGGGACCTGGCCTGCAACCCAGGCATGTGCCCAAGATTGGGAATAGAACTGGTGACCCTTTGGTTCATAGGCTGGCACTCAATCCACTGAGCCACACCAGCCAGGGCATTAGTTACTTCTTTAAAAGAGTAGTCCTCAGTGTAAAAATCTGGTCAAAGCTTTTTTAAAATATTAAATTAATGAAATAAAATCATATTGATTGCATTATTAACCTCTGTTATGTGCTATATTGTGTCCCTCCCCTCAACTCGCATGTTGAAGTCCTAAACCCTAGTACTTCAGAATGTGACTGTATTTGGAGATAGGGTCTTTAAAGATGTAATTACATTAAAATGAGGTCATATGGGTTGGCCCTAATCAATGTAATTGGTGTCCTTATAAAGAAGAGGAAATTAAGATACAGACACACTCAAAGGGAGAATGATGTGAAGATACAAGGAGACAGCCATCTACAAGCCAATAAGAGAGGCCTCAGAAGAAACCAATGCTGCTGAAACCTTGATCTCAGACTTCTAGCCTCTGGAATTTTGAAAGAAAAAATTTCTGTTGTTTAAGCCACCCAGTCTGTGGTACTTTATTATGGCAGCCCTAGCAAACTAGTACAACCCTATGAAGAGTTCTGATAAATTAATAAAAAATGATGGGTATTATTATTTTTTTTAAAAAAAGCATGCTGCCTTCTTCCCTATAGGTTGGTTTTGTTTATATTCTGAGAACATATTTCAGATTTCACTGGCTTCTCTCTAAAGTTTTGCTGATTTATGGAGCTGTCACATTGCCTCCTTTGTTCAGTACTGTGTCATACACATTAGTAAAGCTAATAATTCCACAGTTTTATCCTGGTCGATACTTCTGAGTTGCTGATTTGGGTTATGGAATTGGATTTTTATAAAATAAATAATCTCTAAACCTAAAATTTCAAAACTACAGTTGTTCTTAAATAGCTGGATTCCTACTATATACATCACAAACAAAACTTAATTCCAGATACATTAAGGGTTTAAATGTGAAGATCAAAACATTAATCTTAGAAGAACATTTGGGAGGCTAGACCTATCAAGGACTGGAGGAGATACCCAGACCAAGACAGAAAATGAAAGCACTATAAAATAGAAAAACCAGCCCTGGCTGGTATAGCTCAGTGGATTGAGCGTGGGCTGGGAACCAAAGTGTCCCAGGTTCGATTCCCGGCCAGGGTACACAGGGTACATATGTTCTGGGTTGCAGGCCATAACCCCCAGCAACCGCACATTGATGTTTCTCTCTCTCTCTCTCTCTCTTTCTATCTCCCTCCCTTCCCTCCCTAAAAATAAATAAATAAAATCTTTAAAAAAAATAGAAAAACCATTACATAAAAATTTGATGAATAATCACTCAAGAAATCCAGATGCTCTGAAAGGAAAGGAATATATTGACCACATTAAGTTTTATCTCTGGCTAAACATAGCACGAATAAAGTCAATGAACAAAAAAATAGATCTTAAAAAATACAACATGATGACAGGTAATGTCTATAACACAGAACTCTTTAAAAATTAGAACATATTTTTTTAAGGGTAAGGAATATGAAGTGACAAGTCAACTAGATCTATTATATCAGTTGACCAAGAGGCTCTATAGAAGACATTGAGGGAAAAAATGCAGGGGTATAAGAAATGTTATTTGTGTAAAGGACTCAATGCCTTCTTCCCTTGTGTATGTAAGAGAGAGAAAGAACGTGAAAAAGTGAACAAGGGAGGGAGAGAGGAGTAATGCACGTGGAAAAAGGGAAAAAATAGAAAGGCACTAGCTCTTAATCCCAGAGACCCCAGTGTGCACATCTGTTAATTTTGAGGGTAAAAAATGTAACTAAACACAAAACACGTGTGTGTGTATGTGTTTTCATAAAGGTGTACAAATTTTGTTTACAGCAGGCGGGGAAGCTTTGACTTTAATACATCTTTGCATTGTATCGTTTCACTGCTGTAACAAGCATCTGTTATTTTTATAATTAAAAAACACCAAATTAAAATTTATCATACAACACCAACAAACTAATTATGTTTATGTCACCTATTTACAACTGTGTCCTCCCTCTCATAACTACCTTTCTATATCCCTTCTAATTTGCTGCTGGAAGCACCATATCCTTTGGCTACTCACCTGGCATCTGACATACGAACTGCTACAAGGACTAAGCATTCTAATTCACACATTTCTATAATATACAAGCTTTTCTACTAGCACTTAAGTTTTCCATTGTGGTTTTTTCTGTCACTTCCTACCTTTATTTGTTGAAATGTTTTGACCAGAAGTACATATACATTGGGACTCCTTCTGCTGAGTCTTGGGCAATCCCAAATTTGTGTTCTTACTTTGTCTTTCTCCCACTTTTCCATTGAAGCAACTGCTATTTCTAGTGCCTGCAGTCTGGGACCATTGTTTCCAGGGCAGTGTTATCCAACAGAAATGTAACACTCATAAGTAATTTCAAATTTGCTAGTAACTACATTAAAAAGGTAAAAAGAAACAGGTGAAATTACTTTTAATGTATTTTACTTAACCTAAATACCTAAAATATTTCAACATGTAATCAGTATATATTTTTAAAGATTTTATTTATTTTTTGACAGAAGGGAAGGGAGGGAGGGAGGGAGGGAGAGAGGGAGAGAAACGTCAGTGTGTGGTTTCCTCTCACACACACCCCCTACTGGGGACCTGGCCCACAACCCAGGCATGTGCCCTGACTGGGAAATCCAACCCCGGGTTCGCAGGCCGGCAGTCAATCCATTGAGCTACAGCAGCCAGGGCCAATATTTTAAAAAATAAGATATTTTACACTCTTTTTTAAAAATATAAAGTCCTCTAACTACAGTTGGTATGTTATACCTATAACACATCTTAGTTTGGGCTAGCCACACTTGAAGTATTCAATGGTATAAATAAGGTGCTGTAAGTGTTCAAAGGAACATACTTAATTATAAACTTTTATCTCCGAATACTTACCTTTATTGTTTCCACGTTCAACAGCTAAGCTAGATTTCCGATACATAGGGGATTTAAGTGACAGGAAAATGTAGTTGGTAGTGTGGGTTGCAATCTCGACAGTCATTTACTACCTGCGGGACATTGGGCAAATTTCATGATCTATGACTCAATTCCTTCGTCTGTAAAATGGGGATAAAATGGGGTTGAGAACTAGGTCTCGGGCCATTACTGACGCAGAACCTACAAGTATGCGT